TCCAACAGGTGAAGGATTGAGGAGTGTTAGGGTTAACCTAGTCTTAACCTAGGTAATACAAAGAGTTGGAAACCTACCTTTGTAGAAGTCTCTGGAAAAGTGATGTTGAGAATGTAAGTAGCATTGGATCCCACAGGCATCTTGTACATGGTGTCATTCTGCCCAACCAAATCCTTAGGGTAAAGGACATACTCTATGCCTGGTAGGGTGAGGGCAGGGCTACGACCAGCTAAGTAGGGGAGGATCAATGCTGCAGATCCTTTCCTGAGAAAAGAAATAAATGGTGTGTTGTGCTTTGAGTCATACGAGTTGCATTTATGTGCAAGTCTAGAAATGTCAGGTTGCACCAGACTTGTTTTTCCTTTGGAAGGACAAACACGAAAAGTTACACGTAAAAGAAAGGAAATAAATTGATCCAACTTACAAGGAAATCAACTTCAAGAACTGACAACATAATATGCCAATGGAAGAAAAGCAACTAGTGGTGACAGAAAGCCAAATTGTGATTTTTATAAGTTGTACATTTTCCATTGTTGGTTTCATCCACCTACATGTATTTATGCAAAGAGTTGGATTCAGTCCTCCTTGTTTCTGAAATCTGGTTCAGCCATGTCAAGAGACTTGAAACATTTTTCTTTCTGAACTTCTAAATATGAGTGAGAGAGGTTTAAGCCATGGGACATTCATCAAAACCTTGTTAATATTTGTCTACATACCTTGAAAGATAAAAATACTTCATTTCAGATCATATAGGTTTTTTGTATGTCAGCGATTCCGATGAACCTGACACAAGATCAACTGTAAAATGCTTACAGTTACAATGCTGGCACTAACCTATATGACAGCATCACATTACATATTATCTCTTGATGTGTCAGCATGGAGTTGTTCCACATCAGGAATGTCTGATTTCCTTTAAAGTTCACCTCAGGGGCCAAGGCAGATAAGTGGATGTAGTAGGTTGTCTCACTGGTGAAGCTCAGGTCAGTGGAACTATTGGTAGTGGTGTTCATGTCAGGTTCCAGGAACTCCATATCCAGAGTGCCAGGGACAATCTGAAGATCTGGACAGGAGACGTTCATCCAGATGTCTAGGATATAGAAGTCCAGGACATGGGACAAGTCAAAGGTGTAGCGGACAAGATCAGCGGTGTCCGGGGACTGGGATGGATTGGCAGCTGGGATCAATGGAATGAAGGGTTGGACAGTAACTTTTAACTTTGGTGTGTCACTGGTGAAAAAATCACTGCGGGAATACTTGTAAGAGGCTTTGGCTGCAATACTGAGTTCTTGGTCTGGAAGAACATCGGTCAAAGCACGGGAATAGAACCAAAATTTGATTAGGTCCTTGGCATTGTTCTGCTGGTCTTGGAGGTTGATGAAAGGGTCTATGAGGAAAGTCAACTGGTCCAGGATACCCAAGGCCTGATCGGTGGCTGAGAAGGCAGCAGTGATGCTTGGAATGGTATGATCAGCAATCACTCTCTGAACAGTGTCGATAGTAACATGGTGACCAGCTTCATCGGACGTTTCGTTGAACATTGCACCATGTGTGGTAGCAACCAAGTTGGCCCCAATCTCCCACCACGGTGTTTCATTGATGAACGCCATGCGTACTTGGTTGTCTGCGGCCGGGAAGGACACAGTGAGTTGAATTCCATGATTTCGAGCCTCTGGATGCCTTAAGATGAGCTCGTAGAAAATCTGCTCATGTTTCAAGACATGTTTCTCCTCAGAGAATGATGAATAAGGATGCAGCTTGACACTGGGTTTCTTGACTGTGTAATCCTCAGTGGCTACAAAGGATCAAGAAAAGCAAGCCAATATTTTCCTCCAGCCACCTTGCCATGATGGTCAAAACAAGCATAATATGAATGTTCCATTAGGATTCAGGTAGAACTCTGTGTTTACAAGGACACACCTGTCAACAATGGCTGTTCATATGCAACGGACTCCAACACAAACAAATTCTGTGTCACGTCATGATAAAACAAATTCACTCTGTTTCCAAACCCCATAGGTTTCTTATTTCCTACTATGGCTGGCGTTTTGACTGAGCTCACATGCTAGACAACTGCAAACTAGGTGCTACTTTCGACAGTACATAAATAACAAATGTTAACGTGTACAACTGTAAGAATAATTCAGATGAAACTGTATATTCCACGAGGCAAAGTGAAATAGACCATTTCATCCGTCTAGACTATCATACCAAGAATATACCATTGCACGAATATGAAACATTCATGATTTGTTTTATACAACACCTGTATAAATCCTCGTCATCTGATTGGTTTACTTGCAGCATATTTTATTTGTCTCTTAGTGCTGGTAGCATCAGGTGCGTTGACAAGCTTGTCTCTATCAGTTAAAATTGGAAACGTCGGATCTGAGTCTGCCATGTTGATGTGAATATTGTGCACCACAGCACCACCATGCGGAAGCTACAGTGCAATCAATCCGGAGGTGTTTTTACCATTTCTAACACACAGTTGTTATAAAGGTTTTGCCCTCTGCATGTGCTTCAAGTGCGCAATGTGTGCCAGCCGCATGTTGGTACAAATAATTCAATGCCATGTGATCAACAATCCACTAATCAGATGACAGGGATTGAACAGGTGTTGTGTAAGACCAGATATGAGACACAAACTTTGGCAAATTAACTTGGGAAACTCTCATGATAAATAAGGACAAGGCAATAGCCACCTCTGTATGAAAGATATGGAAGGGTTGCGTAGCACCGTGATCAGAATATTGACAAGAATATAATATAAAATCAGTGCTCTGGAATATGTGATTGCCGAGCTTTCGGTAACTGCTTGCCCTGAAGAAGGTACTCAGTTACCGAAAGTTTGACAATCGCATATTCCAGAGCACTGATTTTATGTTATATTCTTGTTAATATTCTGTATGAGAGATCATTGGCTACAACGCATTGCAGGAATTCCTCCTGATAGTCTTGCTGGTATACAGTGACTGTGAGGGCGCTCCCACCGATACATGTATATGCTTTGACTACGTTGACCTCCTTGTTAAAGTTCATCAAGATACATATGGTAAATGTAAGTATACCCGATAGGGAGAGAACCCGATCAGTCGTGATTTTTTTCATATAGTAGGGCCTACACTCTATTCATTTCATTCACGTCACAGTCTGTACGGCTACTATATGAAAAAAATCACGGCTGATCGGGTTCTCCCCCCAATCGGGTATACCCACACTTACCCTACAAGTAAACCCTGCCTGACTATATATTCAAGACCAAAGCACTGTTGAGATGAAACAAGATGCAACAACTACATGTACATGTAGACTACACTCTATCTTCATCCAATCTTAAAAAACCATCAAAAATGCACAGCTACCTTCAATTCTGCTGTCAGACCTTAACCCTCTGAAAAATAATTGACTGAATACTTTACCAGTGACAGACGTTAGTTGATCAGCAGGTGGCCTTGTAGACTGGCTGATGTTGGCTATCACCAGTGGCTCAAATCGTTGGTTAACCTCCACAAAATTGCTCAGTTCACCTACCCGAAACAAGAAAATAGATCTAACAAAGTGGACACTCAGACTTTAGTCAGCTGATCAACTGTAAAAACAACAACAGGTCCAACATAAACTGACCGATTACAAGAAGAATTTGAGCATTCTTACAAAGCATTGTCAACAAAAATCAGCTTTTCAACTGCTCTACGTTGGGTAGACAAACAGAATTCAAACTTAATCCCAACCCTCCCAGATCAATGAAAATTTATGAAAAGGTCGTAAAAGATATGCATTGAGGAAGGTAGGGTTAGCACAGACAGAGTACAAAGAATGGACATTTGGTTCTTGGTTACCGGTTGATTTTGTTGCATTCTTAAAGATACCTGCAGATGTAAATTTCATTGGTAGCTAAAGGGTATCATTGATGTAGCATCAAGCATCGAATAATGTTCTAAAAGCCTTGAAATTGTAAGTAATGTGAGAAATGTACCATGCTACATTAAATCAGCTTTACCTGTCAAGAACACAGTCAAGTTGAAATCTTGCCAGTGGATGGGATCAGGAGGTGGGTAATAGAACCCTGTGGTGTTGACGTTGATACAGTCCTTGGCATCCAAATATTCCGTAGTGGTGGGGAGGTCCTTGTAGGGGTTGTATGTGGGCTTGGCTGTCGGAGGCCCCGGCTTGAGTTTCATAAAGACGGTACGGCAGTCACGCTCTGTGTCATGGCTGATGAACTCATCAACAATGTAAACTGTTCCGTTATGGTCTTCCTCGTAAACTGAGAGAGGGTAGGAATTGTGCTCATTAGAAATCTTGAAAGCTTCACCACTATTTATTAGTTCTCCTAGATAATCACTCTTCACTGGTGGAATTCCTCAGTTTCCTAACGGGCAAAGCACACTGCATAACTAGTGGCAGCCATGATTCTTTTCATAACCACAGTGATTCAAACAAGAGACTTGTTACAAGGAGCAATGGTGAACATACTGTTAAATAGACGTTATAGACATGTTAAAGTACATCAATACTGAAAATCAGATTCCTTTCAGTTCTGTTTCACACGTGTAGATGTAAACCAGGTGTCTCAGTCCACACAGAATCCTAGGAATGTTCCACTGGAAAAATAAGTCATTCTTTTTTGGTGGACGAGAAATTTGAAAAGACACAGCTTCTTTGCTTTTTTTACACGAACATGAGATCAGAATAAGAGATGCAAGTTTGCATACATTGTGCAGAAGTCAAATTCATTCAATCGTTTATTTTCCGAACTGAGGTATACATGTAATTACTACATTTCAAAATTTGCTTTGGTGAAATGCACATTCCTTGTAGCAGGAAATCCCCAGTAACATGTTGACCAGAGGCTTGAAATACAAACAGCCCTTTGGAGGTAAGACCAAGATGAAGGAACGGCTCATTCATTGCATGTTCCTCTACTCATGTGTTATGCTCGAAATTCAACTGTTATTATCAGTGTTAGTAATAAAACTTCCAAATCACGAGACAGCCTCAAGATTCAACAGCAGACATAACCAGAATTACTATTCAGAAAATTATACTCAACAAAGAAACTCTGTGTCCCATCCATATGTGCATTAATGATGACCACATCGAATTCATGAGTGCATTATCAGCAAATTAGAACCATGTATTACTTACCAAATATCTCCTGCATGGACATGCCGCACAACTCCTTGTTGAAGCTGGCCACAATCGGCGCTTTTGTTGGCACCGTCCAGTCATACTGACCAAAGAACAGACCCCTGTCATTGATCTGGATGCAGGTGGTGTTAGGCTGCAGGGGACAGAGCAGCTCCTGGGGGTCCTCAGGCTCAGCCAAAGCAGCCAGGAGCCGGGTCAGACACTCGTAGGGGTTGAGGAAAAAACACTCGGACGTGGTATTGTGAGGGAGGCACTGGGAGATGTTGAATTGGTGGCAGAAGGCGGGATCCCAGTTCTGTTCCTCGGACGTATCATAGAAGATACAATCTGACCAAAATAAAAGAAAATTGCTCATTGCTTTCATTCAATTAGTTACACTTTCTTTGAATATCCAAGGTGCACTATTTACCCAAGTGTACATGTGAAAGCCTTCAGGCGCTTTAATAATATCACAGTATCAGGAATGGTTTTTCTTCCAAAAAAGAAAAGAATTTCTCTGGTCCTCAGAAACAGATTAGCAACCAACATTTTTCAACTGTCGTTACCTACCGTTTTGTTAAGTTTGAATAACTTTTCCAAGTTGAAAAAATTACATAAACTGTAAACTATGGCATGTGAATAAGTTTGGAGTTTCTACTTGGGACAGCATAATGTTTCAATGCAATATAAAAGATATATTTCCATACTTCAGACCATTCCAGTTGGTATGCAGTTTGCAGCAGCCACCTACATGTACACGGATA